ATCTCCTTCTTGAGAATTTTCTGCGGACAACACTGGAGAATGTGATCCGGACAGCTCAGTACAGTAGCTGCGAAGTTTTGAAAGGGGCTGGTATGGATCTCAGCAGAGATTTCTTGATTCCTTTCTTAATTTTCTCCCAGCTTTCATCTTGATTATCTCATTAATGTCATATCTACTATTGAAAGAGCCTTCTGGAAGTTGCTCAGTTATGATGACATTCTCCTAACACATCAGGAAAATTTGAGCAAAAGACCCAGGAGGAGAAAACTTGGGCCTGGGATGTCTTCTCAGTGCATCTAACACTACTGGAATAATGAAAAGACCATGGGCTGCGTGTTTAACAACTCATCTTTATTAACTGTATGATTCAGTTCTTTTGCTTCCCCTTTGCAGAAATTCTCGTTTGTGACATGTTTCTGGACACCCTATTAGATCTTTAGTTGTAGGTAATACATAGGAGAGTTATTGCAACATTCGGAGCATGGTAACTCATGTTCCTGGAAATATCTAGGGCAGGTGTCAGTTTTGGAAATACCTAAGGCCTCAAGTTATCAAATAGGCATCTGAACTTGGGGTTGGTGGATGTTAGGGATTCTTTTGAAAGCTATTGACTTACAGTTGTGTAAAAAATACAACTGTTCATGCCCGGAACCTGCTGAAGGGCAATCAGATACATAGTCAATACTTAAAACTTTTTTTCCATGGAGGGCATTTTACTTACATTAATTATGTAAAAGAAAAATGTCTTTAGAGCAACACTGCTCCCCCAGCAATGAAACATCGCCAGGTCCTCTTATTGTGCATTTCAGTCACTTTCCATTGACCTCAAAAGCCACATCTCTTAAAGAATCAATTTTTTCCCCCATGCTCACTTAGTTTAACTTCCTCTCCTCATTTATTTAACCAGGAGCAGTAATTTATCTTCATTTTAAGAAGTACCTAATTAGGCTTTCTTACATTCTTTCTGAAGACAAAACAAATCTAGTTTTCTAAGAATTGACATCAGAAACGCTATCATTTCTATTTCTGTAATTGTTTAACAAAGAACACGCTGATTCCAACATTTTTTAAAAGGAATATTATTCATATCCAGAGAATACATTTTTTAGAATTAATGGATTTAATTTTTTCAGAGCAGTTTTAGATTTACAGACAAATCGAGTAGAAGTAGGAATCTATTTTTTGAACAGAAATTCTTAAGAGCTCACAAAGTGCTAGGGCCTATCACAATAGTTAGGTAAGTACCTATGATCAATAAGCCAGTAGCCTATAGCCATGTGCAAGTGAGTACCCACCAAAAGTCTGAGTGATATATATTTTGCTGTAAGTCATAAGGCTGTACATTATAGGTTTTATATATGTATATTTCTACTCTGCCATTTTCATACCACAGTTGCTGTTGTCCTCAATACAGTTTCTCTAAAAATGTCCCTATTACTTTTGGTTCTGTTAAAGCATGAGCTAGGAACTGCCCCGCACTGGGCTCCCACCGTTCCTTGTGTTTAAGTACAATAGGCGTGTAAACCCAAGTTACGTGATTCATGCCCTTCAAAGTCAGCAGGATTGACAGCCCCTTGGGTTTCAGTGATGGGCTATGGAATGGCTTGGCCACCACCCTGGGGCTGACAAGAGCATTTCATCCTTTTCGAATTCACCAGCAGTTTTCTTTTTCTTTTTTTTTTCTTTAATTAAGGTATCATTGATATACAATCTTATGAAGGTTTCACATGAACAACATTGTCGTTTCAACATTCACCCATATAATCAATTCCCCCACCTCCACCCCATTGCAGTCACTATCAGCGTAGTAAGACAGCAGATTTCTTTTATTACTAAATTTCCCTAAGGTTTGTGAGCATTTCTCAGTTTATTCCTTTAAGGAAGGTTTCTGAATAGTCTAAGTCCCCATCTTTTCTTTGCCGTTTCTGGTTTTAGAAGTCTGGTCTTGGGCGACTGTTGCTCATGGAAGTGTGCTGATCCAAATTTACTTACTTTGCTGCCCAGGAGGCTATTGTATAACCACCTTGATAGAAAAATATCTGACCGTTTGTTTCCAGGCCTGTGTTCTTGTAAACTTTCCTTTTAGAATGGGAACCTTAAACTCAGATTCTACAGCAAAGTTTCTTAACCTGGGGTCCAAACACCCTGTGGCTCACAGTTGAGTTTTAGTGGGTCTGTGAGTCCCTTGAAATCGCATATGAATTTCCTGTAATTGTGATTTTTCTGGAGAAAGAGTTCTTAACTTTTGTCAAATTCTTCAGCAGCTGATGTCCCCAAAAGGTTAAGAGTCACTGGCCCATCCTATCTACTAATCTGATCTAACTTGATTCACACTGTTCCTTGTCTCTATTTCCAACTGGGAGAGTGTGAATTGGTTTAAACAAGGTCTTAGCAGTGTCTCACTGTGTCTCTCTCTTGCTCTTGTTCTTTCTGATTATACATATTTTCTGACTGACAACCTGTTTCTGGGTACTCTTTTAAATCTTTCTTGTGAGCTTTAAGTTACTCAGTGATTCAACTTATGGTGGTGGTGATCTTTAAATACAAAATGACTTTTTCTTTTCTGTAACTCTTTTAATGTAAACTGTATAAAACATACAGAAGAGCACACATGTAGGTGGGATTTAAAGAAAAAATTAAAGCAATTAAAAAGCACCCAGGTAACCAGTTTAACAATTAGACTATTGCTGTCATCGCATTATGCACAACCCCTATTAAAACCTTTCCTAGAAATAACCACTCTTCTAGCCTTTCGATTTCCTTGCCTATCTCTATAGTTTTTCCATATATATATATAGTTACTTAGTTTTGTCTGTCTTTCAATTTTGTAAGATTGAAATCAAACTAAGTTATTTCTCGTTTCTTTACCTCAATATTATATTTGTAATATTAATTTACATTGCTACATGTAGCTGTAATTCTTTCATTTCATTGCCTTGAAGTGCTCTTTTGTAGGCCACAATTAACTTATCCATTTCACTGTTGATGGACAATGGGTTTCCTCTCCACAGTTCTTAAGAATAATATAATCTTTTTCATGTATGTGGTATGTATGGACAAGAGCTTCTCAAGGGCATGTACCTAGAATTGGAATTGCTAGTTTGTAGGGTATAAGTAAATTCAACTTTATTTAGAAAATGCCGATTTTCTGAAGTGGCTCTAGGAATTTAAGTTCTCACAACCAGTGAATGAAACTTGTTCCTTGGTATTATGAGTTTTTAAAATTTTAGCTATTGTGGTAGTATTTAGTTATATGTCACTAAAGTTTAGTTTGTATGTTTGTGATTACCAATGAGGTTGCGAATTTTTTAATTTGCCTGCTGACTATTTGTATCTCTTCTTTTATGAAGTTCCTGGCCAAGTGTTTTGCCTAGCTATGACAGGTTGTCTCTGATTCCTTGATTTATTGGAGTTTTTTTTGTATCCTAGATACCAGCACATTTTTTTCTATATATGTGCTGCAAATATCCTCTTCCACATCACTGGTTCTCTTACAATTTTCTTCATGAGGCTTTTGTAAAAAAAATCCTTTAAATTGTTAATTGTATAGTGTTGTTTGAAGAACAGAAGTTCTTAATTTTTGTTTAGTCCACTTATCAATCTCTTTCTTTAGGGTTAGTCCCATTTATGTCTTATTTAAGAAATCTTTCACTGGGGTCTTGAAGGTATTTTCCTAGATTTTCTTTTGAAAGAGTTATATTTTTATCTTTTACCTTTAGACCTGTAATCTACTTGATAATTGATTTATGAATGATAGGACTAAAATCCAGCTTTTTCCCACATGAATACCTTTCTGTCCCAGCATCATGTATTAAATAGTCCTTCCTTTCCCCACCTGAGCTACCCTACCACCTCTGGCAAAAATAGCAGATATGCCTGATGCTGTTTCTAGGTTCTCCATTCTCCTCCAGTTGTTCAACTTGTCAGCCCCTGTGCTAACGCTAAGCTGTCTTCATAAGCAGGTTTTGGTTGTTGTCTGGCTTAATTGCTCATAGCACGTATAATATGGTCTGACCACAGTCTGCCCATTTTGTTGAGACTTGCTTTATTGTCCAGTGGGGAACATTTTTGTAAAGGTTCTCTGTGTTCTTGAGAAGAACATTGCAACACTGAGCACTGTGTTTTACAAATGTCCACTCTCTCAAATGGGTTAATTGTGTTGTGCAAATCTGTATCTTTATTTTTCTGTTTTGTTTTTTTTTTTTCAGTTTCAAATCTAGATTCTTCTTGCTATTTCGTCTGCTTGGTCTCTCAGTTACTGAGAGAGGTTTAAAATTTCCCAGTAGGATTGAGGATGTGCCTGCTTTTTCAGGTAGCCCTGTCAATTTTTATTTTATGTATTTTGGGTTTATGTTATGAGGTTCCTATGACTTTAAAATTATTATATCTTCCTGGTGAATGGAGCATTTTAGCAATAGGAATTGAATGTCTTCATCTCTAGAAATGCTGCTTGCCTTCAATTTTTTGTTTCTGTAATTAATATAATGACAAATATTTGCTGGATGTATGTGTGTGTGTATATATACACATACAGTATATATATATATATATATATACAAATTCATCCAATGTTTACCAAATTGTGAACCATTGCAAACATTGCTGAATCCTGATGCTCACTCATCCCCATCCCTCTCCTGGCTCCCCTTTGAGAAGGAAGCCTGGAGCTGGACCACCCCAAACACCAGAGGATACCAGGGAGATAAAGAGAATGCAGGAAGATGGCCGAAGATGGGGGAGAGGAAGGAGCAGGGCCAGAGAGCAAAGCTAGATTCCTGGGCCACACACCCCCACACACACAACACACACACCTGTATACACACACACACACACACACACACACACCTATACACACACACATCTACACACATCTTACACACACATCTATGTACACACACATTACACACACACATCTATATACACACATGCATATATATGTGAAAAAAAATGAAATTTTACGGCCCCTCACGGTGGTCACACAAGCAGGCAGGGCAAACCGTGCAGGGTGCAGAGGCCCTAAGTTGGCCAGGACGGCATCTACTGTGCTGGGAAGATGCCCTCCAGCCATTCTCACCTGTATCAGCAAGATTGCTGCAGCCCCTCACCTGCAACAAGAAAAGAGCCTGGAATGCTCAAAAAAGGTAAACTGGAAGAAAATCTGGTTTTCCCATCCTTGATAGAATTCTTTGGGAGAATGATAGCCGTCCTCACCCTTGCCTCCTCTCATGTCAGGGCATGCAAGACATTTCCGGCGCACTGACTGGACGTCTCCTTGGCCCACTGCTTTGATGTACTGACAAATTGTGACCTTTTTCTTGCACAGTGTCCCCTGTTGTAAAAAGGTATGTAAACGTTCCCAGATAAAGGGGTTTGGAGCAGTGTGATGAGAGCTCTCTGTCTGTTCAACTGTCATCTGGGTCATGGCCCTCAGTAAGACTGAATAAACTGTCTTTCTTAATACAAAAGTCATGTTGATTTCAGCCAATACATGGTGTGTGTGTATATATATATATATATACATTTTTTATTGTGGTAAAATATACATAAAATGAAATTTATCAATTTAACCATTTTAAGTGTACAATTCAGTGGCATTAAGTGTATTCATATTGTCATGTAACCATCACCACTACCCATTTCCAGAACTTTTTATAACTCCAAAAAGAAACTCTGCACCCATAAAACAATAATTCTGCATTCCCTCTTCTAGGGGAAATTACCTGTATTACCTCTTCTAGGTACTTCATTATCAGTGGAAACATACAATATTTGTGTTTTCGTGTCTGGCTTCTTCCACTTTGCATGCTTTCAAGGTTCATCCACATTGTAGCATCTGTCCGAATTTCATTCCTTTTTATGGCTTAATGTGTATATACACTACATTTTGTCTATCTGTTCATCTGTTGATGGACACTTGGGTTGTTTTCATCTTTTGGCTATTGTGAAGAATGATACTATGAACATTGGTATAAAAGTAATCTGTTTGAGTCTCTGCATTCATTTCTTTTGGGTATATACACACATTTTAAATATAGTATTTTTCAATTAAAATTTTTTTAAACCTTTCTAAAAATTTACATTTTATGTTTCTCTTAAAAACCAGCCTGTCACTCTTTGAACTGGAACATCTAGGCCATTTATATTTAACGGAATTACTGGTATATTTTACTTTATATATGTCATCTAATTTTATGTTTTCAATTTGTCATGCCTGTTCTGGGTGATTTCCCCCCATCCTTAATTACTTTCTTTTGGATTGATTATAATCTGTTAAATCATCCGTCTACCAGTTGTTTGGAAGCTCTGCACTGTTTCATTTTCTTTTAGTTCTTACTTGGAAACTACAACATGCATTCTTAATGTATCAAAATTTAAATTTTAATATCTTTCCAGTCATCCAGACAACACAAGAACCTTTGAATATTTTAAAATATATTTATTCTCTTTCCAGACTTTAATGTTGTTATTGGGTGTTTTCATTTTTTAAAAATCTTCCATAATACCAATATTTTATAGAATCCATTTTCATTTACATTTACGTACATCTCTACAGCTGTGTTCTTTATTTCTTCTTGAAATTCTAACTTTCCGTCTGGGGCCATTTTCTTTTTCCCTGAAGTATATCATTCAGAATTTCCATTGGGGGACTGCTATCTTTATTTTGCTTTCATGCTTGAAATACATTTGCACTGGTCCTAGAAGATGTCCTTTCACTGTGTCCTGCTTTTCATGGATGTTTTTACAACATCTGTGAAATGAACTCTAAATCCAACAGTTACTACTTTGTAAGCAATCTGTTTTTTTAAAAAAACTATATGAAGAAGTTGATGATTATGTAACTCCTTTGTGCTCAGGATTCAACTTTGATAATTATAAACTCATGGCCAATCTTATTTCTCTATATTCCTACCGACTTTCCACCCACATGGTTTTTTTTTAAGCAATTGAGGCCATCATATTATTTCATAGATAAATATTTCAGTATACAAACCCAAAAGCTGATTTCTCTTAATAGAAGCATAACCATAATACTAGTATTGCCCCTAAAAATTAATAATGTCTTAATATCATCAAGTATCCAGTGTTCAAATTTCCAATTGTCTCATAAGTAATTTTTTTAGTTTGTTTGGATAAGATGTTCACATTGCTAATAATTTTTGTATTTGTTAAATTCTTTCAGTCTATAGGTTCCTCTCCCTCTTTTTCATTCTGACTTACTTGCTGAAGAAACAGTGTTTTTCCTGTAGTGCCTGGCACAGTGCATTCTCATAGCATCACTTAACATGCTCTGTGACTGCACTGAAGAACTTCTCTTTGTCTTGGATGTTCTGCATTTCATTATGGTTTGCCTGGGTACAGCATTCTCTTAAAATGTTTCAACTTTTCTGCTAAGGGGATCTCTGGGATTTTTACATTTGTGGATATGTGTCCTCCCTCAGTTCTGCAATAGTCTTGCCCATTATGTCCTCAGGTATTTCCACTGTCCTGTTTATCTAGAACTCTGACTGGATTTATATTCATCCCTCTCACTGCTTGCCTCTTAACTTTCATCTCATATTTTCCACCACTTTGTTCCTCTTGGTGGCATTCTGAGTGATTACTAATGGCTTATCTTCTCCTAATTTCTCTCCTAAACTGTATCTAGCCTGTTGACAAACCTCTTCATTGAATTTTAATATCTTGCTGTATTTTAACATGTTATGTTCTATCCAGTTCCTTTTCAAACCCACTAGGTTACATAACATGTATGGGATAGGCCTATCTCATTGTGTTTCTTAGACAAACACACCAAATTGTACCTTAGAACAATAGTCTACAAAGGGTTTGAGAATATTGGAATGGAAGTTCCAATCAAGGAATTATTTATACCTGCAGGTTGGTGCGGCTACTCATAGAATCTGCAGGCCCAGGCAGACTTATCTTTGAGAGATTTCTAATCATTTTCTCTCTGCTTTATTCCCAGTCAACATGTACCCCAAAGAGGTTATGTTATCCTCGTCACAATGGGAGCATCTACCAGAGCATCTGTCTTACCTGGAATCTGAGCCTTGATAATTATAAGTTCTGAGAGAAAAAAGGAAACTTCTGAATCCAAGTTCTGTGGTGCCGACCATCATCTGGCTAGATCTACCAGGAGGCACTTCACTGAATTCTGTCTGGAGAGTAAAGTTCTAGGGGAAGAATTTCCTGTAATATACTACTAATAAGAACTATCTCTAAAAACTTATAAATGTACCAGTTTCACTTCGATTTTTAGAAAAAAAAAGCTATAGAATGAAAAATCTTCCTGTCCCCATCTTTCTAATTTCCACACGCCTCCTTCCTGGAAACCATGGTATTGGTTTCCGACATTTTCTTTTAGAGTTTCTTTATGGACAAACCAGAAAAATAATTGTAGAAGAGAGCATGCTAAACATAATATTTAAAATTTTTTCTTATCTTTTAAATTCGTACTTTGGAAGTCTTTCTAATATCAACACAGAACTTTCTCATTCTTTTTACCACTGCGAAATGTTCCACTGTACAAATTTACTATAATATATTTAGCCAGTCATCTACTGATGGACATTTAGGTTTTTTTCCCAGGCTAAAGAAAATTAGGTGCCACAGGTTCTCAGCTCTGCTATGGCAGGCAACCAGTGAGCTATGTAATGGACCTCCTACAGAGGTGCAAAGAAGCCCCTGCTGGAAGGCCTGGCTGCTTGTTTCACATAAAAATAAGGGTAAAGATAAGAAAGTGTTTTGTTTACTGGATTCATTCAAAAAGTGTTTATTGAGCACCTACTGTACACCAGGTATGAGAATAGAGATGTTGCCCTCAAGGAGTTCCTAGTCTAGTGGGGAAAACAAAAATATAGAAAAAGTAATGTGGCAGTGTGTTACTGTGAAGAAAGAATCCCTCACAGGGTGTTGTGGAGTGCAAGGCAGGGAGGGGTTGGTGTACTCAAGCATGTTTCTCAGGGGAGCAGTCAAACTGAGTCTTGAACTCTGAGTAGGATCTGCCACGTAGGTGGAAACAGAGGCGATCTGGGGAGAGGGTGGTCGTTCTGGGCAAACAGGCAGCAAGAGTTTCAGGGAGCTGGTGAAGCTTCAGGGAAATTCATGGGGTTGGACCAGGAAGAAATAAATGATATTGTTGCAAAGAAAACAGGAAACCCACGAGGAGATTTTGGTGTGCTGGTGAGAGATGACAAAAGCCTGCGACAAGACAGGGCTCTCAGGAGTAGAGCTGGGGGAGGGAAGAGACCCTGAGGAAGACTCTGGTGTTCATCTGGTCGTGCTCAGGGGAGAGAGAAGGGGAGAAGAATGTGAGAGAGGGCAGAAGACCAGGAGAGAGAGGGAAGGAGATTGACCCAGGGCCACTCCCTGGTTCTTGGCTGGGGCATCTAGGTAGATGATGGTGTCACTTACTGAGATGTGGGGCACATGAGGAGTGGAAGGATTGGGAAATATGACTTGGTTTTGACAAACCATATTTGAGGTGCCCCTGGGAGGTAGAGAAGAGTATTCATGGCCCACTGTGGATAAAATTGCAATATTTTCAGAATCTCTCACCTGGCCTTACTGCATCTCCATACCAGTGGGTGATTACAAGGGGGAGTGAGGGCATATCTTGACGGGGGTGGGCTGGGTGGGGTCCCTTTTTGCAGATGGGTCCTGAGAGGGAGAGCAGAAGTGGATAACTGCCTGTAAGCAATAAATGGGTTTCTCCCACTTTATTTCTCCCTTTGACTGATTTCAGCTTCAAAGATAATCTGCCCTGGGCTGGGAACTATCCCCCTCCTCCCCCACCACCCCCAGAGTTGCACTCACTTAATTGGACTGCTTTGCCTATGTGAAAGCTGCAATGTCCGAGCAGGGGCGAAGCAGTCCTTGGCAGAGGAACTGTCAGCAAGAGCGGTCCAATTCAGATTCAGTTATGGAACATTTACTATGTGTTAGACATGGTGCAACACTCACTGACCGCCAAGGGGCAGAGGTTCTATCTGGCTCGTCCACACTTGCATCCCGGGGCCCACTACAGATTGATACATGGTGGACATTTGAGTAGTATTTGTAGAATGACTAATCGAATGCATGAATGAATGTGTTTGGTAATAGGAATGCAGCATTCATTATGTACCTCCCAAATCCCTCCCTTGGGAGCTTGCTGTCTGGTTGGGGAGACAAATGCAGAGACAACGAGTGTCAAACAGTATATTAAGTGAGGGCAGTGTGGACTCAGGGGAGGAGGGAGTGTGTGTGTGTGTGTGTGTGTGTGTGTGTGTGTGTGTGTGTGTGTGTGAGAGAGAGAGAGAGAGAGAGAGAGTTCATTTTCTTACTTCCTGCTGTCACAAGATAC